GACGACGAACGACGAACACACACACGACACGCACACACACACACACACACACACACACACACACACACACACACACACACGACACACGCACACACACACACACACACACACACACACACACACACACACACAGCTACGCCCACATACCTTCTTTACGACACAAGCACGCAACATAAGTTCAAATTCAAGTTCAAATCTCGTGTTTACGCGCCAGTAAACTATAAACGATCGATTCTGATGTAAGGTCGAGCTGAAACACGCACAGTGTAAACAAACGAACACACGCACGCACACACACACACACATACACGCGCACACGCGCACACGCACACGCACACGCACACACGCACACATACGCGCGCACACGCACGCACACGCACACACACGCGCGCACACGCACACACACGCACGCGCAGCCATATAGTTATTTATATAAGTTATAGTAACGTAAGTACTTTATATATAAGTAATAATATATATATTATATACAGAGTATTTATTCGTATGTATTGTTTTTTCCACGCCAGATACTTTCGCGTGGACCAGAATGGCGACCTCTACTCCACGGACGGCGTGCGAGATCTCGTTCTCGTGCAGTACGTGCTGACGGTGATGGCGTGCAACGCCGGCGACGAGGAGCTGGGCGAGGACAGGAGGTGCGCGGGAGCGGACGTGCTCGTCAGGCTGCCAGACCTGCCGCCGGCATTCTCACGCGGCGACTACACGGCGAGCGTTGTGGAGACCTCGCCGGTAGGCACAGCAGTGCTGCGCGTGTCTGCCACCGATCCTGCCGGGGTGAGGGAATAGCGCGTTGATCTTACGTCGCGCGATTCGCATGCTTCCTAATTTTCCTAGTACAACTATATATTAAATAATATATACATATATTATATAATACTATATATAATTTTCCTAATAACCTATTGTCTGTTCATTTATCTAAGTGACTCCTGTGTTACAGTGAAAACACGATCATAGAGAATCGTGGTCTGTTATCGTTATCATTTTCTTACGGTGCGGGCGTGAACGGTGTAGCAAACACTGACACAGTTTAAATGGGTGTTTTCAGGATGAGTTGGTCTACCAGCTACAGAATGGGAGTCACGTTGCCGAGTTTTCCATGACAAAAGAGTGAGCGCAGTTTTATAGTTTAATATCATATCATATTATCTTCGCCAGTCTGTGTGCGATTCTTTTTTTTTGACCTTGAATCTTCTCTCATAATATCTTTGATCGGAGAGAAGCACGCACGGTTTAAACCATTTATATTTAAATTGGATAACAAAATGTGCTCATGCATACCACATTGCCATTTCAGTGGAGTGCTCATCACGAAAAAGAAGCTGAGCTTTGCAGATGCGAGCTTGTACTATTTGGTTGCTGAAGTTACTGACGGATTACAGGTAAACACAATCTCATACCCCTTACGTTGAACCGATCACTGTTACGGCATAATTAATTGGATAAATGAGCTTATATGAGCGTAAAAGCAAACAAAAAAACCTAGATGCTGTTAGTCGAAACAGATTAACTTGATCGTAAGCAGATTAACTTAGTAATGTTCTATAGATGGTGATGGTGATGGATCGTTTTAGAGTTTTCCCATTCGTATACTAATGTTGTAGGGACATACAACCAAGGTTTCCCTACAATATTTTAGTGGGAAATAATACCAGTTGCTCTATCAAAGCCTAGCGTTCGTTTGCAGCTCGTCACTTCTTTACATTTGATTAACGCGATCCGTGATTCATTTTTGTGACGCAGACGGATCGTGCGGCGGTGAACGTGGTGGTGGTTCCGAGCAACCGATACAACCCGGTGTTCTCGCAGCCACGATACGAGTTCGTCTGCAATCGCACGGCGAACACGCTGCTGGGCGTTGTGCACGCACAGACGCCCGGGTCGAACACCGCGAACATCACCTACCGACTCCTCGGCTATGACAGGTGAAAGATGCGGCGAATGTGACGATGGTGACGTTAATTGATGGTGACACGTACGACACGCGATATCTGTGTGTGACTGTAAAACTGTGACTGTGACTGTGACTGTGAATGTGATGATGGCCATATTAATTGATAATGGCACATATGACGTGTGATATCTTTGCATGACTGTGAAATTGTGACTGTAGCTATGACTGTGAATATGATGGTGGCCCTGTTAATTCAAGATGACTCGTATGACGTGTGATATCTGTGCGTGACTGTGAAACTGTGACTGTGACTGAAACTGTGCCTGTGACTATGAAATTTTGACTGTAAACGTGATGACAGCCACTTTAATTTAAGATGGCACTTACAATGTGCGTTATGTGCACATCCTTTACGCAGAAACCGTTGAGAAATACATGTATTCATTCAGTAAGAGCAATCAGTGAACACGTGTTCGTGTGATAACGTAATCATGTGATTACATCTTTACATGAACACTTAATAATTATAATAGTTTATGAATTCGTTGTTGATCATTACTGGCGTCATAGGTTATTAGTGTTTGAATTACATACCATGCTAGTGTTTACATCGAGTTTTTCCCCTCTTTCTCACAGTTACTTTGCCGTGAACGCTGCCGGCGAGGTGTGGACGAGGCGTGACCTGCGTGACCTCGTGCTGCCTCGCTACGAGATGAGTGTGAGCGCGTGCGGCCCCGCAAACAGTGTGCTGGGAGAGGAGCCGCGCTGCTCCCGCGCCGCCATTGCTGTCGCGCTGCCGCCGACGCCGCCCGCGTTCGAACGCGCGTCCTACGCCGTCGCAGGCCTCCCGCCGACGCTGCCTGCCGGGTTCTTCGTGCTGCGAGTGTCGGCGCACTCTCCGGCTGGGGTAGGTGGCGCTGCGGTAGAGCCGCGCGCGTATCAGCGAGTAGTATTGTTAGCCGAATAAGAATTTGATCGCGTTACTTGTGTTACTGCTTGATGTACATATAAAGTGGTGCACGAGTTTGTGAGTGTTCGCAGAGCATGCTTTTGTGTCTAATGCCTACATAGTGGCTTACGGCGGTTCTTTTGCAGCAGGTTTTTGTTGTACGGAAGTGTGGAGTGGTGAACTCGTTGCCTTTGTTTCACTGGTTGGCATGAAGTACTGCTAGTGACATGCCTGAATGCTAATGATTTTGAGTTTTGTTTTTATTCGCACAGATTGCTATTAACCGAAGGAGTTCGAGTGCTCTCTCTATTTTACATTGTGGGATAATTTTGCTTTAGCTTCTTTTTTGATTTCAGCTGAGAATGTTTGCAGCTGGTGCATTACAGAATGCTTCAGGGCTGCATGTTGCATGATGAGCATGCTGTTGCTACTATCCGATGGATGTGTGTACTGCAAATGCCACATATGACTGCAGCATCTATAATTTCACTTGCTTGCCATGTAACAAAGCATGCATCGTGCACCATTCTTATTGCATGCGAAATGCATCATCTCACGTATCAGACAGCAATACATGAAATACTGGGGTACTGGGTTGTTAAAACCAGTAGTTTGCTTGTTCTGGAGTGTGCATGGCACAGAAATAATGGGATTATGGAGAGTTGAGCCCAATCTTTCCCTCACCAATCCTTGCTGTCAATCCTCACGATTTTCAAATAATAATTTTGTAATTATCTATATTGGTTTTCTGCAGTTGTGATATACGTTTCTATATTTATCTATCTGAACAGGATGCTCTCTCGTACAACCTATTGAATGCTTCTGAAATAAAGGACTTTGAAATGACACCTACGTACGTATTTAACCTCGCTGCCATTATATTTGCGTGGCTATAAAATAATTGCTTTACTGTGTATTATGTATTTTAACATCTGGTATTCCATGCTACAATCACAAGAGTTAGACCCATAAGGTAGAATTTACTGTTGAATGGTTATAGAGTATGATAAGTATTTCACAGGACAATGCATTTAAACTACTAATGATAGTAAAAATGTAGTATGTAGTAAAGAAAACGTCATCACGTTATGACTGCTTTTTAGGGGATTATTGAAGACAAAGACTCTGCTTGATCATTCCCGCCAGCGATTCTACGAGATGACAGCCGAAGTTACTGATGGGATAAATGTATGTTAGTCTTCAAGCAAAACTATCTGTAACCACCAGCACACACAGAAGATATGTTTAGAGTAACACACGTTTGGATAGAGGTGCATGCACCACTTCCTAATGTGCATGCCCTGTTCGTTTGTTTTTTCTAGACTGACACAGCTGCAATAGAGATCACTGTTGTCAACAGCAACAACAAAAATCCGGTCTTCATGAGGGATGTCTATGAATTCAACGCTGCTCGTGTAAACGGTGGTGTGGTTGGACAGACCACAGCCAGTGACCCCACTGGACGTGACCTTGTCTACACACTCATTGGCCACGAAGAGTGAGTGCGCACGTCAACCGTGCTTGTCTCTTTTACTAAATGTCCTGAATAGTCCATCGCAATTTTGATGCTGATATTGGGAATACAGTCAAACCTGGGGTCACTCGAGAGATGTGCGAAAACTGTCCTTTATAGACAGGTGTCCATTCTATAAAGTTGGTTTCACTGTGTAACTGCCACTCAAGAAAAATGCCAAAAATGTCTTTTATGGACGTGTGTCTATTCTATAGAGTTGGTTTCACTCAAGAGAGAACCTTGTGCTTGTAGTCTTTTGTTTATTAAGTAAATCTTATGGTACGTTGTTTCTGTTCGAGTTTTTGTCTTATTCTGTGCTTTCACATCTTAGCTTTATATCTAGTTCACCTTAGTAGTTTTCATTCCCCACCTAAAATATATAGTTATGTTCATGGTGTAAGTATATACGCTAAACTTCTTCTAGGTTTGGTAACAGTTAGATATGCAGTTTTTTTAGAATTAATAGGAAGTTGTCAGTATCGTCTTCCTCATGTCCAACGAGTAATGAAGGCCAACAACTCACATTTCGGCTCGTGTAAATCAGGTTTTTTGAGATCGACAACGCGGGAGAGATCACGATGAGAGACAATGCCGACATGCTGGTGAACTCGCGATACGAGATGAGCGTCAAGGCGTGCAACGTCGTCATCAACGCATCATCGTCGGCCGAGCAGACGCGATGCTCCGTCGCTCAGGTCGTCGTCAAGCTGCCCGAACTCGCGGCTGGTGAGTACGTGCGTGTGGGTGTGTGTGCGTGCGTGCGTGCGTGCGTGCGTTCGTGCGTGCGTGCGTGTTTGTGTGCGCGTGCGTGTGTGCATGTGTGTGTGCGCGTGCATGTGTGTACGTGTGCGTGCGTGCGTACGCGCATCTGTGAACAGGATATTATCACAAGCAACCAGCATACGCGACCTTCGTCTCTGCATCGAAGCCATGCAAACACATCATTTTGGTGGAAGTAAAATGCAAAATGCCAATATCTAGATGGATGATCAAGGGGACGTGCACGTATTCTGATAGGTATTATATTGTTGATGCAATTTCTTTATTAGTCCAACGTGGCTATGAGACTAATTTCCATACAGTGGTATATACAATCATAACGTACTAATGTCTAAGACAATAGCCGTACAATACGTGACAGTTTATCGGAGCTACGTGGCGATAAGTCACTAGTATCAAATTTAAGGCCTGAACTTCTTTTACTCTGCAGGTACTGCGTCACCAAGCACCGGACTGCAGAACAGCCAGACTCTGATCATCATCATACTAGCCTGCATAGCTGGAGTCATGTTTGTTGCCATACTGGTGCTTTCCGTGTTCCTGCTCAGAAAGTAAGACCTCGTTGTTATTGTTAACTGTAACTAATTTCCCTTGTAATATAGATTGTTTACAATACCAGTCAGGCAGTATAATCGTAATACTGATACTAATATTGTTCTTTTTCTCTTATTTTATTTTTCAACTAACACATTAGTCGAGGAAAGGTAGCACCGTGAGTATTTACACGCTTGACTACCATCTTCTCTCCAGTTTGCATGCAGTATGTTAATGTGGAAAGAATGTTTTTGACATTTGCTATGTGTTTCTCTGTCTATTCCTGTTTCGGCCCTTGAATATTTCTCTGTTTCTTTACCCTTCTGTACTCCGTATGTAATCTTTTTTTAGCTTTCTGTTACCGTGTTGTATATTCTTCTCGGCATTACCTTGAGTATTGAGGCATTTGAATTAACAATGCCTCTAATGTTGAAGAGTTTTTTCCAGTAGCTCTTCTGGCTTTCGTAGTTGCCTCCCTCTGATTAGAAACTTGTCTGCATTGTTGCACTGTCGTAAGTTGTGTTCTGGTTTACTTTCGCCAAATCTATAAGCTTTCTCGTTCTCCTATAGTTCTCTCGATAGCTGTTTTTCTGAACTCATTTTATTCCAATCTCTGAACAACCTCGTTTCTTATGTTTTGTATTTGTGTGATGTAGCCTAATATGCAATAGTGGCAGATAGTTGCTTTCTCATCCAGAGTTGTAGCCCTTGCTGATTGATGCCTTTATATTGCAGTAAAGGAAGCCCAACTCCAGAGAATAGTGGTATACCACCAGCGTACCCTGACCCAAAAGCATATTCGTATGCACACGACAACCATGGTCTGAGAGCTCCAAATGGTAGGTTCTGCCTCCAACCTGAGAATACAGAAACACAATGATAAGCAGTGTTAATTGTGGATAGATGAGTGCTGTTGCATGTGAGAGTCAGATCTCTCCCAGATACCTTAGAGGCAAACACAACAACGAGGGTTTATGGATTCCCGATCACTTTCAGATTTGGGAAATGAGCCAATAAAGTTCTACGAAAACGATTCTGCCAATCAGGTGCGTCACGTCGACGTTGAGAATGGCGACAGCTCGTCCAATCAGAGCGACATCCCGATGGATGCCAGCAGCACGGAGCGGTTGTACAAAGACCGAAATAAGATTAAGGTGCGGAGCTGTATTCCTTACAGGTGCTCGTAGTACGGGTTGGTGAGAGTTGTATGTATGCCTATTTTTCGGCGTGTTTATTTGCTTCCATGCGTCAGGTGTGGTAGATCTTCTGTCAACAGCGAGTTATTTAGTTTATTCTTTTGTTTAACAATTAATGAATTGTACTACGACATGCATTCTCTTTCACGAGTTTCACTAACCAAAAAAACTAGCTTCAGTCGCGTGTGCTGTGCAGTGCATAGCATTAGAAATAATTCTATTTGTAATGTTGTAATGTTGCACATAGTTTGTTCGTACTGTTTGTTGTTCTACCTGGCCTAATGCGTCTGCTAAGCGTTTCCTTCTTTTTCTTCCCTGTAGGTGGCGCCAATGCCGCGACAGGCGAACGGTTCTGTGTCACGGCAGATGAACGGTTCTGTGTCACGGCAGATGAACGGTTCTGTTCAGTCGGACCTGAACAGGAGCAAGAAACGGGTAACGATAGGTGGCGCTGAGGAGGTCGATGATTGGGGCGGTGAACATCCACAGACAGACACACAGATCGAGGTGAGAATGAGAAGTTCATCTCAAGATACTGAGTGTGTACGGATAATGGATCTAGAAGTCTAGGCTGTAGTAGGAAATAACCTGACCGCTTAGTGTTCAATACTGATTTCGTTGTGCCCGAGGTAGGGGTAAATTAATAAAAAAAACATTTTTTTTATAAAAACAAATAAAAAAGAACTCAACCCCCTAAATGTACAAATATATCTACATCTCCTTGATAACCAATTTGATAACCAACCTCTAGAAGATGTATCGTTGTGAATATATGAGAAGTAAGTTGGCCTAATACGATTCAAGGTTATGATACCCCATAATGTTATAAAGTCAGTCGGCTGGCTGGTTGATGATAATCGAACTGCAGTCAAGCCACCGTTTTAATATATTTTAATAAAGTGAACTTGTTAGAGACAAGTACTATGCAGTAATCTGTGCATGAGTGGTGGGTAATGATGTAGTGTTCTTATTTTCAATAATAAAAGCCAAAACAAAATGGAGTAGGAAAAGGTCACGTCCATTCTTAACGGCAGGTTGGTATATGTTGTTGCAGTTGCTGCATGTGTGACAATGTTACCATGGTTACAGTGGTGCATGAGACCCCGACCTAATAGAGACAAATTTGAGACACCCTCCAATCTGTATTCCATGATTGTGTCATTCTGTTTTTTGTATACGTTGTTATACGATGGTAACCAACCTATCACGAGTGTAAGAACCCAGTCAAGATGATAACTCTATTTGTTTGGTTCTTTTGTTGTTTTGCATGACGCGTATATTATGTGTGAGAAAGTTTCTTTTAAGCGGAACAGATTACACGAAGCTGCATGTTTGTTTATGTGAATATATTTTGTGTATTTCGAGATGTATTTTACGTTGGCACTGCTGGCATGTGTAAACACGTTAATCCTTCAAACGACTTCAAAACGTGAAGGCCAAATGTTTGAACGATTAATATTAAAATGAAAAAAATGAATCAGCTCTTGCTTATTTGAACCTTTCAACCGGGTAAATCAGAATTGAAATTTCTCATGTATTTATCTTAACCTCCTAATAGGGTAGTTTTGTGTTATAAAGGTTAGCCTAAAATAACGATATAATTCCCAAATTACGACTCGTCTTCAGAGTTTAATTCCTGTGTTGATTTTTCCACAGACGATGTTGGATCCGAACGTGAGTGTGGAGCCTCTTGACTCCAACGTTGACCTGTCCGTCCCACCGGGAGCTACAAGGATGAAGCCTGAGCTCACAATCTATTTCTAGGCACTTGCCACCGATGCTTGGAACGCGTAGAATTCGTATACACGCGTAGAATCGCTGTGTGTAACGAGTCACCGATGCAACGCAATGTGCAATCCCCAGCTTCTCCTACATACGTAATTTTCGCGTGGCGAAATTGGCTCTCCGGGTCGTTTTTGTTTAACGGAGGGTGTCATCCCTAGGGGATATAAGGACGTAACGATTTGCTGCCAAATCCAAATACGCGAGCGCGATACGGTTTACTGTAAGCTGTTTGGGATTGGCGTGGGTTAGCTCCGAGGTCACAGGTTTACCCGTTTTCCGAGAGTCGTGACTGGGAGACCTGAGTCGAATGTAATTGGAAATAATTTGACCTGCTGGGCAGGTGTAACCCTTAAGTACGAATCATGTGCCACCGCATCGCTCGACATTTTTATATACGAATTGTGAAGTGTGTGTCTCGGTAAGAATTAGAAGTTGTGATCGTTGTGTCTGCAATTTGTACGAGTTGTTTTGCGTGTGAGCTTGACTATCTGTAGCGTTTCTCTTTAGACAGAAACTTTTAAATCAATCGTTACTCTACTTTATACCCTTTTGTTTGCTTGAAACCTAGTCCATATTTGATCAGTGTGTATTAATTTTGATAATAATGTTTGAATTATACGGCTTAATATGTTGCGAGTTGCATTTCTTTGGTGGTCGCATACTCGTAATTTGATTGGATCCTGGTCGTTAACGATGATCATCCGTATATTCTAATTCCAATGCTAATGGCAGCTCTACTCTTAATTATTCAATATTAAAATACATTATAATGCAATAATGCCTGCCATTCATATATCATCCTTTAATACTTTGTTACTCCTAACAGCAATGATGTAAATTATGTAAATTCATTTGAATGTATGTATAATATATATATATATAAACTGTTGTTTGCTAGGGTATACATATCGCTGTGAGCAATCAGATTATGTTTAGTAGATTGAAAAATGTGTACATAATAACTATGTGGCCAGTTTTCGCTGCCGTTCTACATGCTATGTATAGCTGACCTGACTTTTATCCTGTGGTAATATAGCCTATTGTGTATTACCAGGGGGGGGGGGACATAAATGAAACATATCAGCATGCACCCACCGTCTACAAATTAAGATATCAAGCTAGATTAAATTACGAGATGATTTCAGGAATTTGAGTATGGCTACGTAGTAGTGTTGATCTGTGGTGACACTGCACAAGTATTTGTGTGAAATTGATGTATATTTTAATAAAATATCCTGTTATACACATGTAAAGCTATGTATTAAATTGATAATTTTTACTCGACCGACCCGCATGGCCATTCCAGAGCCGAGTAACTTCCAATCAAGTAGTCGGTGTGCAAAGTTCAAGATACCTAAGTGAGTAAACGGGGTTACGGTAAGGTGTGCGTGCCTGCGCGCGTATAAATAAATAAATAACTAATTAACGGAGCGGGAGAGGTGTACACATAATACGCACAACCACACGCGCATACAATAGTACATACAGAGACACAGCGACCCACAGGCACGCACACGCACAGAAACGCACGCATGCGCGCACGAATTCACACACGCACGCGTATTATAGGCACATATACTGTACACATAGTACATTATAAAAATGGATATTCCTTTCCCTATCATTTTGTCTCCCGCTTTCTCGCCTTCCCTTCCTCCATTCCCATCCTTCCGTTACTCCCATCCATCCATAATTACTCTCACTAAATCTCGTTCCCTTCCTTCCTCCGTTTTTCTCAGCCTATGTGTCTTTCTCTCTTTCTCTCTCTCTCTCTCTCTCTCTCTCTCTTTCTCGCTCTCTCTTTCTTTGTTTCTGCCCCTCCCATGCTTACTTCCTCTCCTCTGGCGAATAGTATCGTCCACGGCATCACTCGCACGGTGAAAAGTTTGCCAGCCAAATGACCGTATTTCAGCTGAAACTTTTCACTCCCCGAGGCCACAAAATTTGATTTACGCATATAATACACGCGCACGCGTGCTTGCAACATACCCGTCGTTGCGCGCCGGGTCGTGTGTGTGTGTTGTTTGTGTGACCACAAAAACGCGTATTATAGGCCGTATATCCACATTTTGTGCTTTGGGGGGTGAAAAAGATGAGGCTGAAACCAAAGCCATTTCTCTGGCTAACTTTTCACAGTGCAACTCATGCAGTGGGCGATAACTATCCGCGATAGGAGGGAGGGAATACTGAGGGGAAGGGAGTGAGAGGGGAGGAGGAAGGAAGAGGAGAGAAAGAGGGAGGTGAAGAATGCGACGGAGATGTGCACACGCCATGCGCAGTCCACGCGCAGACAAACGCATGTACGCACACACAGCACGGATGACAAATTCCTTCCAATGTAGTTACTTCTCTCGCATTCTCGCTCACCCTTTCCCTCTCGTGACTCTCACCCTCTCTCTCTTCTCTCTCTCTATCTCTCTTCTCTCTCTCTCTCTCTCACACACACACACACTCTCTCTTCTCTTTCTCTCTCACAACACACACACACACACACACACACGCACGCACTTTCTTTCTCTCTCTCTGCTTCTCTCTCTCTCGCAATATTTCTCTTCACGCGCGACACACGCACACGCGCACGCAGCACGCACTCACGCACGCACGCGCGCACACACATACACTTTCTCGTTCCCTCACTCTCTCTTCTCTCTCTCTCTCTCTTCTCTCTCTCTGCTGCGTGCATTCTCGCTCGCAATTTTCTCTCTTTCTTGGGCGCTATATATATATTATATATATATATATACTCGCCTTTTTCCGTTTTTTTCACATGCTCTTACTTACTCCCTCTCGCGGATAGTATCGTCCACGGCATTACTCGCACGGTGAAAAGTTTGCCAGCCAAATGACCGTATTTCAGCTGAAACATTTTCACTCCCCAAGCACAAAATTTGAATTTACGCCTATAATACACCACACGCGTGCGTGCAACCATACCCGCTTGTGCGGCCCGGTCGCGTGTGTGTATAGTGTAGTTTGTGTGACCGTAGAAAACGCGTATTATAGCCGTATATCCACATTTTGTGCTTTGGGGGTGAAAAAGATGAGGCTGAAAACCAGCATTTGTCTGGCTACTTTTTCACAGTGCAACTCATGCAGTGGGCGGATACTATCGCGATGGGGGAGGGAAATACTGAGGGAAGGGTAGTGAGAGGGGGAGGAGGAAGGAAAGAGAGAGAAAAGAGGGAGGACGGGGAGGGAAGAATGCAGACGGAGATGTGCACAACGCATGCGCAGTCACACCACGCAGACAAACGCACGTACGCACAACTCACAGGCACGGGTGCACAAATCCTTCACATGTAGTTACTTCTCTCAGCAATTTCTCGCTCCACCCTTCCTCTCCGTGACTCTCACCCTCTCTCTCTTTCTTCTCTCTCTCTCTCACACACACACACACACAACCACACACACACCAACGCACACACACACTCTCTCTCTCTTCTCACACACACACACACACACGCACTCTATCTCTCTCACAACACACACACACACACACACACGCATCTCTCTTCTTCTCTCTGTCTCTCTCTCTCGTCAATATTTCTCTCTATGCGCGCACGCACGCACGCAGCACGCACGCACGCGCGCACACATGCACACACTCACTCGTTTCCCGCCTCCTCTGTCTCTCTCTCTCTCTTCGCATATTTTCTTCACGCGCGCACACGCAACACGCATGACTGCGACGCAACGCAGCACGCACGCACGTCACGCGCAACACAACACATGACACTCTCGTCCCTGCTCTCTCTCTCTCTCTTCTTGGCTCTACTGCGTGCATCTCTCGCTCGCATTTTTCTCTCTTCTGGGCGCTATAATATATTATATATATATATATATATATATTATATATATACATATAATATAATATACACATATGTATATATATATTATATATATTATTACTATATATATATTATATATTATATTATATATATATACTATATATACACATATGTATATATAATATATATATATATTATATATATTATATACTCGCCTTTTTCCGTTTTTTTTGTGAATGCTCACTTCCTTACTCCCTCTCGCGGATTAGTATCGTTCCACGGCATCACTCGCAGGTTGAAAAGTTTGCATGCCAATGAACCGTATTTCAGCTGAAACTTTTTCACTCCCCGAAGAGCCACAAAATTTGAATTTACGCCTATAATAATCGCGCACGCGTGCGTGCAACCATGCCGCGTGTTGCGCGCCGGTTGCGTGTGTGTATGTATGTTTGTGTGACCGTAAAAACGCGTATTATAGCCGTATATCCACATTTTGTGCTTTGGGGGTGAAAATGTTGAGGCTGAAAACCAGCCATTTGTCTTGCTAACTTTTCACAGTGCAACTGATGCCGTGGGCGATACCAATCGCGAGAGGGGAGGAAGGAAGAACAACAAGAATGACCAACAACAAGAGGTGAAGGGAAGAAGAGAGAGAGCGAGAGAGAGAGGAAGCGAGGGAATGAGAGAGAGAGAGAGACGCTAGAATGAGAGAGAGAGAGGAGAAGAGAGAGAAGAGCGCGCCGACACAGCGGGGGCTGGTGCGAGGGCCGGACGAGCAGAGGGTCTCGCAGAGGTGAGGTGCAGACCAGGAGCAGCAGAGCGCGTAAGTGCGAGCACGAGAGAGAGGGGAAATGAAATAGACGGCCATAAGTGCATAGGGAGGGGAAGAGAGCAGTAAAAGGTGCTAGAGTGAGAGGACGGGGAATGGGAGAATAGGCAACGACACGCGGAAGCACACAGGCAGAGAGCCAGAGGGAGAGGAAAGCAAGGGGGACATGAGGAAGGAATTGACGATGAGAGTAGAAGGCCGAGCGACCGGGGAGAGAGAGACGACGCAGAGAGAGACAGTAGACGAGGGGCAATCGAGGGCGCCGAGATTGGAGAGAGGAGAGAGCGAGAGAGAGAGACGGGAGAGAGAGAGAGAAAGAGAGACAGAGACAGAGAGAGAGAGAGAGAGAGAAAGGGCTCGGGAAAAGAGATCTGCCCCTCCTATTTCATTTCCTATCCCTAGTACTATCATACCGCTTACCATCGGCAGTCTCAGCTCTAACCCTAAATTTATTACATCTCGATTGCAGAAGAAGCGTCGAAGCTTGCGGGATACGTCATACTATATACCGGTAATACCATTATATATATATATCCTCGTCCTGTCTTTCTCAGATATATACATACTAATAGATAAATATATATATTTTAGTACTAATAATACATAATATATAAAATATAAATATTATATAAAATAGAGGAGAGAGAGAGAGAGAGACGCACTGTCTCTTTCCATGCCTCTCTCTCTTGCGATATCTCTCTCATTCCTTCGGGTGCTATTTCACTCCATCACACTCTCTACGTTTCACCCGTTCCCTCATCTTATCTTATCCTCCCCTCGTTCTCCTCCACATGCCCCTGTCGGTTTCACCCTCTCCCTTACTTTCTTCCTCTCCCTCTCGCTCATTGTACAGGACAACAACAGTACGGTGGAGAAAGAAAGAGAGCGAGAGAGTTTATATATTATATACTATTACTATTAGTATGCTATATAGTATATTATATATATAATGTACCTGCGTGTGTGTCTTTATAATATAGAGCTTTGCTTCATCGTAATCTTGAATGAATCAACGACAGAACCAACAACAATAATCAGTCTTTATCATGATACGTATATGTAGTATATATTTATCACATGATTATAATACATCCGTATGTGATTAGCTGCATTTCACTCAGGAACCTGCGCGGTATTTACAGGCAATAGCAGACGTGCGGCACAGCACCAAATGTACACCAATCGCTGTCGTCATGGTAAAGGGGTATAATACCGCTATGAATATGCGGTTGTTCGCAGCAATAGCTTTCTATTATTTCGGTCGTCGATGTTACCGGAAATGGATAATCAGAAATTCTTTTCCGCCAAAAGATTTCACTATGTGCGTTGCTAATTTAACTTCAGGTCAGATTCAGGTTTGCGGTAGAGATAGGTGGTGAGCTTAGGAGAAGAGACCAGTTTAAGTAGCAAAATACGAAGAGCTAGGGATCGACCTAAAGTAGAGTAGAAGGGAAAACAACGGGAAGGATGAGCAGGGTGGGTGGTGCCTCGGCATAGGGAATAGAGCAAATTTAGCACCCGCTCTGTGGATGGGGGAGCACAGATCTTTAAATAATTGTTATAGCCGTGTGTCAAACGCAGCAGATAATTGCCATCTCTGAATTATAGGCCTACAATGAGCTTCCAATACATCAGTTCTGACCGCATGCTTCTAGAAGCACGTAACCAACTTAGCCAATTTATATAACATTATATACATACAACTGTGTTTCCCACAAATGTTAAAAACTCTCTTGGCAATACTGCGAAAGAAACGTGCTCGAAAAGTGGCCATCTTTAAATAACGCGTAAAAAATGTTCACGAGTTCATAAATAAAATAGAATAATTTAAAATGGCAAACATCATAACGCGCCAAGCCACGCTAACGTCGAGTATCCTGGAAGCTACAACAATAAACAAACTTCCGCAATATCCAGTCAAATCGTCGAGCACCCAGCCACTCTGTACATGATGCAACTCAATATTTACAAACGCGATTTTCGCCTACGCCATATCTCATGCGGACTGATCAGAGTCAACTTATATCTACATATAGCGTGTATATATATAACGCATGCGTGCAACACATCTCAGGGACATCGTTCGCGTTACGTCACACAAATATTTCTAGATTTTCCAAGAGAACACGAAAGGTTTTCTAAGAGAACACGAGACTGCATATCTATAACGTATTCCCCGGTCGAAAACGGTACAAATCTGAATGCTAGTGCTACATATAGTGAACGTGAATTCACCGCGTTCAAACGTGCGGTCGCTTTAATTGTTAGCGTGCTACAAAGGTCGGTAAGCACGTACCACGTACGTACGTACACCACGCAAGGTACGTGTAAAGCTGGGTTTACACTATCAACTTTCTGTAGAAAGTTGACGAGTTGATAAATTTTTCAATTAATCGACCGAAAGTCGGCAGTGTAAATGTAAAGGTTTAGTGCTCAACTAGTTGAGAAATTAGAACATGGTCAGCGAGTTGATCAACTTTTTGCCATGCAGTCACTCTGATAACAGCAATCAGGAGGTGTGTCCCTCGTGTTGCCGACTCGTGGTCGATAACGTAAAAACATCTGATAGAGAGGTTGATAGAACGTTGAAAAGTTGATCAATTCGTCGACTTTCCAAGTGTACACCCAGCTTAACGGAGAATAGACAAGCAGGGCCGATACAAGCACTTCTGATGCTGGAAACCATCGTGGCGCCAGTATCCAATCAAACTATCACATATAGTCATTCGATAAAATTGCAACATTTCATAGCTTGCATTAACATTTTACGTTCACATCAACCTGCTTCATTACATCAAGCATCTAATAGTGGCCTCTGTTTTACAAAGTAGTTAGAACTATCATGTATTTGAAGACGCTAAAGATTAAACAAAATAGTTTACTGGTAACTTACATAACAGTGCCAGTCACGAATTAAAAACACATTCAGATGGCACCGTTATATAAATGGGGACCTTGAAATCCAGTAAGAAAAGTCTCTATATAAAATTTTGGCCCCTACCTCTAGGAAATCCATTCTCATTCCAAAATCTTCTGCAATTCAGCGCTCACTCAGTTAAATTCACATCTTTAACGCAAATAGCAGCTTACAAAAGTTAACTAGTAGGAACAGCTGCCTTTCGGAGTGTCATCATCATCATCATCATCATCATCATCATCGCCATCATCACCATCATTATCAACATTTGCTGCAACAGGTTGCAACATCATGATCAGCTCTGCTATGCCTGCATTCATGCTGTGCACTCACTACACGCGCAGTTATTCACAAGCCTGCGTACCAGATATAATTTCGTCTGCCTACATATTACATCTACATCTATTCCAGGCTATTTATTCCTTTTATATTATACCCTAACCCAGAGGTTAGTAGCATGCATATAACATACGGCACATGACATTCGGTATATTAGACGTAGATTCTTTCGTAATAGCACGCACTCGTTTGAAGACAAATCTCCAACCAGTACATTTCAACGAAACCTAAATGGCTAAAGCAAAGGGTTAACACAACAATATCAGTAGCTTCACCGCGTGTTGTAATGATCGATACTCCCGCCTACCATGAAGTTCATTCATCACGCTAGAAATTCATACTGAACTGATATAATGACACACAGCAAGCGACTGTTTTAACTTGTAAGCTCAAACGTGAATTGTTGAGCTCAACAACGAAGACACAAGTGCAACCTATAGCTTGGGAATGGTCACTATGACACCATCTATAAATCAACAGACTCTTGAGTTACAGATGCACCGGTCGTTCTACGTAGGAGGCTGACTCCATAAGGATTGATTAACAACGACTTATATAACCAGTCTATGTATGAATTTAATCCGTGGATTGCCTTCAACGCTTTTTCGTGCACTATAAATTGTGCCATAAATATTGGTCGATGAATTGTCATTTCTGCGTCCACACGCCACGCTACAAAGATGTCCGCTGGCCAGCAACTCCGACGTTAGCTGCTGCTCCGGGACACAACTTCAACAGGCTGTCTCCTCCAGAATCTAAATGCAATTAGGAAAGACATCATTATTCCAACCGAAAGAATGGAGAAACTGCATCAATAAAATAGATCTAAAACTCGATCGTGGCGAAGCAATTTTAAGACATGGCAGGTGCACAGCTAAAGATCAGAGCAATAGGTACCACTCAATTTCAATGACGTCTGCTCTAAAGTTCCACATTTTCTCTTTCGATATGAAATCTATTTCGTTGTCCTAAGATTATTAGGAGGGCGCTATAAGTGTATTAAAAATAATAAAGGCAATACTAGGAGGGATTTAAGTGTAAGCAATGGTAAATGACACCAGTGATCATGTTCCAGAAATCACACCATCTCTTACAAAGCTTCTGTCAGTGACCCGCCGTCGCTTGGTCACGGGTATAGCTTACCGATACTACTCCCCGTGCTCGTGCGAGAATGCCGCTTGTTGACCGGCTCAAGATAGCTGCCTGGCGCCCAGCCCGACTGACCCGCCAGCGACCTCACAAACCACCAGCCATCTTCGCTCAGCTTGACCACTTCCACCATCTCGCCCTCCGTCATTGAAAGCTCTCCAAAGTCGATCGCCATGTAGTCAGCCAGTGCGACGTACAGCGGCAGGCTCTGTGCAGACAAGAGTGAGTACGCGCGCTGTAAGAACTGAACACTGGTCTTTCGAGCTTAAGGCACACTGCAGCGATGACGACGACTGATCATGGCATTTAGCGTAAAAATCACAGTGACAATGACAGGTGTTAGGTAAAAGTTTACTGACGTTACCTACATTTGTGATCGGCTACTTGGAAAGTACCAAACATAGTTCACGTTTGGGATTAGATCATTATGTAGATAAGATTGTGATTAGATAATTGTGTAAGTGTTAATTGCTCGACTATTTCGCTGGATATCAGAATTGATTATAAGTATTCTATCACCACAGCTGTTGTTTGATGTTATCATGCAAGCGTGTAACAACAGTCGACAGAATGCCAACTCTGCAACAATTCGTCACTAAGCAATACTTTTTAGAACGTCCTATCTCGACACACATTTCGTCTGATTGGTGACACACTACAGCTTCCCATAACCCGCCCCATCCATCCTGAAAGGTAAATTCTCGCGAAACCGCATCCCGGGCCAATGCCACCCCTTGTTCCTGTTCAATTATGACAATGATGACAGGTCAAACTGCGTCCCTGGCCAACCCCCCCTGTCTCCCCCCGTCGTCGCCTTACCTCGCCCTGCGAGCTCCTGTTCGACAGACACTGCGGCTCTGGCTCGTCCGAGTTCCCCGAGTGGTCGTCGGTGCTCCAGCCCTCATCCTCCTCGGTCTCGTCCTCGTTGAGGAAGGCCGGCATTGTTGGCGCCTCGCTCGCCGCCATGTTGCCGACGCCGAGGGTGAGGAATGGGTTTGCGGGTCGCTGAAGGTGACCCCAGGTCTTCGCCTTCGTCAGCAAGCTGCAGGAAAACCACGCGTAACGTTAATGGCAGCCAAAGTCCTCGATTGTATGCTATCAACAATATTTGAATTAGAAATTGATCTACCAGATAGATACGAGATCTAGACTGTATGACCATGTGTGCAACGTAACCTGTTGACGCATTTGCTAGCGATTAAGCATTTGTTTCTTGTTGCTGTTGCTCTGTGTAGCTGTTAAGCATTTGTTGCTTGTTGCTGTTGCTTTATGTTGCTGTTAAGCATTTATTGCTTGTTGCTGTTGCTCTGTGTTGCTGTTAAGCATTTGTGTAATTACCGATGGTTCGCCTGACGATGGCCGGAGTCAGACAGCTTCTGTCCGATGCTAGAGCTGCTGTGCAGCGTGGCTCCCTCTGCCTTTTTCTGGACATGCTGCATGGCTGCTTCACCTGCATGACAACACAGAAGGTCAAGGAAACCGCCTCTTTAACTACTGGGCATTATATGTAATGTACTGTCATTAATGAATAAGAAACGGTCAAGCTCCAAGCTTTGTGTATAATAATACTTTCAGTAAAAAAATGAAAACTATACATACCTTTAATGGCATTGAATTGGCGTAGGAGGAGATTCTTTATTTCAGTCACCCACACCTCCTTAATCTCTGCAGTGTCTGCCTGGATGGTGTAAACCTCGGCTCTGTTGTGCGTCCACACCTCAAACTTGCTCTTGTCTCCCTTGTCACCCTTGAAGTTCTCAGTCAGGCCAATCTCAGACATCTAGAAAAAGAAACTATATGTGTGAAACGGGCCACGAAAGCCGTGGGTTTTCAGACGGGTATATAATTGTGAATGAATCTACAATGAATGTTTTAAGCACAACGTCTGAAATAACAACCGCCTTCATGTTATCTAGTTGTAAAATTTCATACATGATGCTGGACCCCAAGGCTAAAAGTGTAAACAAGATCATACAAATTTATACACGTACTTGCACTTTAGTTGAATACTAATGTCATATAGCATCATTTAAATTCAGCCTTACAGGCCATTAATCGCCTGATGGAAAATTCGATGAACTAAGACATGTTTCTTTGGTACAGATCTGAATTACACTGATCAAACAAACTGTGTAACTGTAAGTCAGTTGTGACCCAACACAGGCTGTTTCACAACAATAGCACGAAGCAATGATTTGTATGATTCCCGCACCAGCTACCACATTTGCTTTGCTTGAATCCACCTCAACAGCAGATACGAGTTCACACAATTTCAGAAACATCAAAAATACCCATGACTATCTTAGGTCTACAAAGCCATTGCCTCTGACGTGAAGTAGCACGCAAAAGCTACAATATTTCAGACACATAACTATTCATACATTAATTATGTTCCTGACGTCAACAGGTCCCAGGGTCGCAGATTCGCGATCCGTGCGACGACGCGGTGTGTAAGACTCACCTCCATAGCGTGCTTGAAGCAGTAGCCAGACTTCTGTGCGTCACGCAGCCCCTCGCGCTTCTTACAGAACAGGATCGCGTTCTCGTAGAGGAACATGTGCCGCAGCATCGGCTTGAAGCGCAGCGCACTGATGCGGTCCTTCTTGTGCTCCGTCCAGATGTTGAACGAGGCCTGCATCAGCAGCCGCCCCAACTCCGACAGATTCCCCTGCAGAATGAAGAGAGAAGATGTCACACACGCTGACAACTGAAGCATTTACAACTAGATAAATGAATAAACTGAACGATAACCGAAGCGGTTTACGGCTAGAACAACCGCAATCGATTTGCTCTGATCTGATGCTGAAATATTGAGATGAAGTCAGATATAATATACAACTATAAATATAAAGAGCAAATATACTATAAGAGCGATGTCTCGATTTGTTCACATGCACATCTGCACCAATCTCATATGGTATGTGTCAGAAATACAAGCTATAGGCAGTGTAGCTTTTGTATTGCATTTTGTTCGCATGCCTAATTTTATTAACCGTTCATCTATCTGTGCATTATTCAGCTAAACTATGTAGATTATTAACGAATCAAAAACATCAATCTATAATATCATGATGAACTATTATTGTAATAGTATTTTAGACAGGATACTGCTAAATAATTGTGTGACAGAGAAGGTGACATGTTCATTGCTAGTGTGAACAGTCATGTAATCGGCATTATTTGCACACATACGCAGAATCCGGTGATGGCTGCCTGATGCATGATGTCATTGACATATTTGAGGACTCCTAGCATCGCATGTAGAGCCTCCTGAATGTCACAGTTGCCATCCTCGTTGTCTGTGTACCGCAACATCTCCTGAAATGTTGCGGAGAGGACAACGACTATTAAATGCTTACACACTCGTCACAGATTCGAACACTGCGGATTCTGCATCACGTTTTATTGCATGTTTGAAATAGGTACAGATTGTGGATATCCTGTATTGAACTACCACTAAATAGATGCGTTTGTGATCTACAAGTATATCAAAATGACAGAACATTGACTTTTTATATGTCAATGGACATAATATATATGACATCACACCCATAAAAACATTAAAAACCCCACACACACACAAAAATCCCAAAACAGACAGAATGTTTTGTTTCGCCAATCTAGACTTTACAGTGAGGATATAACACTCTCAAGGATTATAGTCTGCTGACAGAATTGCATTCATACATTCTCGCACTATCCAGTGTAATTATAATTACGGTATACCGGAACGTACCCTGGTACTAAATACTACTATCTAATATGCCGGACCGTACCTCGCCTACTCCACTAATGAGTCTAGGGAGTCGCCTACACCTACTCCCTAACCCTAACTCTAACCCTATCCCTAACCCTAACCATATCAGCTAGATAGTTACCAGGGTACGTTCCGGCAGTACCCTGGGGGACATAGACCCTATGAGCTACAGTAGGGCAGACATGCTGCCACAAATGTGCACCAAACACTGGCGGCGCACAATTCAACAATACAGCACAAGTAAATATGTGGACGAATGGCTCTCTTGGCACTACATTCTCGCAACATGGTTTTGCATGATATAACTACACAGCATGTTAATTTAGCCTGGGCCAATTGGCCCATGTCCTCCCAAAAACATTAAAAAATATGCTATTTTACACTTCATCAGTTGAACACGCATGCCATATCCCCCGATATGGCGATGAACTAAAGATATGACACATGTAAATCCATTTGCCAGATTTCATTCATACATTCTCGCACTATCCAGTGTACGTATTCAGAACACCAGCAAACACTGACGATGAACAAGAATCACATAACTATTCCTTCATGGGAGAGTTCGATCAGTGCTGTAGAAACAGATGCGTGCCAGGACTTCACCCCTTTCAGGCAAAAACCTGGCGATGCTCACCTTCAATAGCAACTGGTACTTTGTGATTCTCTGCACCGGTTTGAGTAGATATGCACCGAGTGGCAGTCGATGACCCAATCTCTTCTGACACTCCTATAAACATAAGAAACGTATTCATTGGAAAAGGATACACACTCCCAAAGATATAGGTATAGCTCTTTCTCTAAATTTGCTCCACGGACGTAAGCTCTCTTTATAAATCAGCCCCCAAGAACACATAATAATATACGAGTATATACTAACTGATGCAATTCTAATCACTGTGAACCAATAATTACATTACAGGATGGGGAAGACATATATGCATAAAATATTATCTTTCATTACTAATCAAATGAAACTCACGCCTGAGCAAAACAAATAAAAAATTATTTATCGGAGTAGACCTGGACCAACATGATCGCCAGATCGTAACATGAATCGCTACCCTACCTTGAAGAATGCATTGTTGTCCCCACATTTTCTTCGCAGTGTTTCTGAGTAGAGTTTATTCTGACAGTAGACGCTGTATCGATCGTGGAAATCTTCTTTCTATATTGGGAAAAAAATACAGATGTGTGTGTTAATCATCTACAGGTTTTATATTCATCACTGACCGTAAATGGTTTAATCTCAAGACTTTATAACATGAAGATACTACTTAGCCAATTTTTGGATAAAAATGCACTTTTTATTCTTAGTTGGGGTATTATAACACTGTTAACAAATGAGATTAATGCGTTTATATCTAATCACTGTAAACAGCACAATATTCTGGCACAGATTACTTGAGAGAGTCAGAATTCTGGTCATGCAGAGCCAGCACTCACCCTGGCAACAAAGCACTGACCAACCAGTGAAGGATTGCTCACACATTGCTCCAGGTCTTTCAGAAACACACTGCAACGTACACAGTCATCAATCATCATGTTGCAACGACACAGCGAATCTACACAATCTGATGAGCTCTCGACAATTCGCAAAAGCTCGTGCGTGGCAGGTGCACGGTACACGGAGCCTAGCTACAGTAGGGCTGATAGGGTCTATGTCCCCCAGGGTACTGCCGGAACGTACCCTGGGTACGGTCCTGTATACCGGAACGTACCCTGGTACTAAATACTACTATCTAATATGCCGGACCGTACCTCGTCTACTCCACTAACGAGTCTAGGGAGTCGCCTACGCCTACTCCCTAACCCTAACCATATCAGCTAGATAGTTATCAGGGTACGTTCCGGTATACCGGACCGTACCCAGGGTACGTTCCGGCAGTACCCTGGGGGACATAGACCCTATGAGCTACGGTAGGGTAGACATGCTGCCACAAATGTGCACCGAACACTGGCGGCTCACAATTCAACAATACAGCACAAGTAAATATGTGGACGAATGGCTCTGTTGGCACTACATTCCCGCAACATGATTTTGTATGATATAACTACACAGCATGTAAATTTAGCCTGGGCCAATTGGCCCATATGTCCTCCCAAAAACATTAAAAAATATGCTATTTTACACTTCATCAGTTGAACACGCATGCCATATCCCCCGATATGGCGATGAACTAAAGATATGACACATGTAAATCCATTTGACAGATGACATTTCGTCAGGTGATGGCTCGTGGCTGGACGTAGCTAACATACTCGTTGTGGAACTGGTAGAGTTCCTCCAGGTTTCCGAACAAGGTCTCTGCCTTGCCTATCAGTGACACAGGGATGAGGTCCTGCCACTCTGGATTCTCCATCTGCTGTACATATCCCTACACGCACACAGACGAAAACGCTCCATATAGTAGCGAACATATAAGTAGCACTAGTTATTCATATTATATAATTGCATATTATGTAATTGATATATGATATAGCAACGATTATATGATATACTGCGAGTAAATGAATTAGACAAGCTCTAATTCATGTACTCCTGTCAATATAGCATAAAAGAAAAGCTTCAAAGCAAACCATGAACACCAGTATACATAATATTTTAGAAGACATCAGCATGATCTTTTCTGTCTATCTATATCTATCCACCCATACATCACATGCGTCTAAACAGAGGAATTGCTCCGACCTGTGATTGGAGGATAAAAATAAACCCGCCCACTTTTCCATTTTTGGAGGATAAAAATAGAATTCGTGACGTTTCGTTTCACCGGTCATAGCCGCGCGTGCATATTTGCTAATTAATTAGACTAATCGTGCTTTAATAGACTCAAAATTCACAGAGATTAAGGCTAAGACATGTGTCTATAATAGCTAGAATTTATAGAAATGTAACTTAAATCGTTCGCTCCATATGATAGTTAGTACACGTTCCTACCGGTCATAGCATAGCGTATGCGGCGGGAGTGGGCGGGGTCTATATTTATCCTCCAATCACAGGTCGGAGCAATTCCTCTGTTTAGACGCATATGTCATACATCCATCCACCCCCCCTCTCTCTCTCTCTATATATATATATGTAGGTTTGCATTTTCATGACCTACCTCAATGATGCTTTTCAGCTCAGCAACATATGCTCTTTCTGTCTCAAACAGCTCCCTCATCACAAGCCTGTGGAAAGCAGGTATAAGAACTGAATTATAATCATAATCATATTCCTCCAGTTTTGATATAATAAAATACAGGTACGCACGTTAAGCTATATCATGCAGTAACACTAAAGGTCTATCGTACACAAAATTAAAAAGCTACGATAACCACGATTTTCCAGCACATATCCTAATAACTTTAAATTAGTAAATTTTGTGCAGTGTTATGCAGTGTTAATATCTATCATAAGAAATATTAACACATGGTCAGTGCTCGGCAGTGTAGGTACGCTTACCCTCGTTTGGCATGCAAGCTGTCCGTTTCACTCGTCGTGGAGGAATTCTCTGATTCCGCTTCCGGCACAAACCCGCTGTCGTCGGATCCCGCTGACCTGCGTACGACCTCAATCTGCATCTGGAGATCGCAAGCTATTATAAGAGCATTTCCTCAACAATTTGGAAGCAGGTCAACTATAAAGGCTCATATATATATATATATATATATATATATGTGGTATATAGATTATATACCATGAACCTATGTATAGCAGAAACCATGATGCTCACCAGGTGGCATTGCAAGACCCGTACGATTTCCAGATGAAAGCTGGAGTTTTGACTTGCCGCCATTCATGTTCGCGGCCGCTATATTATGTACGGTTTCCGCGAAACGTGCCAAAATATAACACACTGAATGCGTACCACTCCTTCAAAGCCCTTTGTGCCACAACGTTCTCTCGTTCGATCGATTATAAGCATACTGTAACAAGCTTTACATACGGTTTATGTGAGGTGTATATAGGTTACATTGATCCATGCTGCATTGTTACTGTTAGTGTGCAACTAATATTTGAACGTCACATAAAAGAACTACATATTAGCTTCATGCATTTATTGTGGCATACAACGCATCGGTGACAGCAAACCTGCAGTAACCTAAACATTGACTGCACTTGTGTTGAGTGTTTTTATATAGCAAAATGAAGAATTAGTATAACATGTAGAAGCATATATATACCAATAAGCCGTAATAAAAAATAAATTACAAATCGTTATTCATACATGAGTATGTTTATTCAGGCGAGATTGTAAAAGAGAAACAGTGACATGCATATGCACGTGCAAAAACCACATCATGCATCAAACTGTAGTGCAGATCAGTACATGCAAGTATAATTAGTTCATTTGTTAGATTAATTAACCAGATTATAATCAAATCTACATGCAGAGGTTAATACAGGGTGACTAACAGTTAAAGTTAGCCAGATGTTAGTCACCAAATATATAAAATGAATAGTTCACCAAGTGTATACACGTACATATGCAGGCTAATGGTAATATATGAAAACTGCACTAAACCACATAAAGAGGGAGGCACAGCACATTTCATAACGCAAGGTCTATATGTTAAGTAGTGAATAATAATAGATGATCTATAATAGATAATAATCTATAATCTATGATCGATAATCTATTATTAATCACTCCTGATATGTTCTAATCTGCATGCCAACCATAGGACAATCCCTCAAGATTCAAAAGGAAAGATCTACATCTAATCCGCGCGCAATCAAAATTCCAAACCAAAACGTCAACCCAGCAGACACTACAAGCACTAGCTCAAGCTACGAATCCCGTGCGTATGTCATGCGAGGAGAACCGCCCACCCGCGTGACCTTCGACCCCATCATACCTTCGGGTGGTTGCGCGACTTTTTACCGTGCCACCGCCGCTTCACCTCGCCATCGGCGGGCGTCGCCCCCTGGCGGCCGCGTGGCTCGTGGACGGGCGCAGCGGCGGCGGGCTCAGGCATGACGGGCTGGACGGCGCGCGTCGGCCGCTCGACGACCTTCTTCAGGCTTCTCTTCCTCTTCTCCAGCATCACCTGCACGTCCTCGATCCTCTTCAACACCTGTAGACACGGGAGGGACGCCGCGCAGACACGTGAGAATCGCTGAGAGAGGAAACCGACGTTTCGAAACTCGAGGGAGGGGGTCTGGGGGCATTCCAGTAAAGATAGTCTGGGAGTATGCTGAGGGAGAGGGTCTGGGAGAACCTGCACACCCCCTGTCGAAGTTTGTTCAACCCCCACAGTGGAAAATCCTGCAATCAAAAGCATTCTGGAGGACATTCCAATTGTTGAAAAGCAGCCGAGGAATTTTCATCATCTGTAATATATGTTTGCAAGCATGGCATGTCCTCTGCCAAGTCCATGCATCTGCTTCAGATTTTTTACCCCCTTCCTTCAAATTTTCATCACGGATTCATACTGAATTCAAAATTATCATTTTAACAACAAATAAACGAGAAAATGGTGAACCCGCGGAAAGTTCTCATCCCTGGAGGATCGGAGTACCTCCAGGTGATCGTGTGGTCTATTTAAAGCTTTTTCGCTAACAGCTAGTAGATGCATGAAACATGCATTTATGCATGCGCACTGCAGTGCATCTCCTAATTTCAGAACAGATAGCCATAATGCATTATTCCTTGTGCCGTAAAGCTGTTCTAGTCTATTAGGCCCACAAGGGTTGGTGGTTGCTTATATTCTAGTGATGTTAAACAGCTTATAGTACCAAACGACTGCCCTCGGTGAAACTCGGTAGTCAGTAGCAAATAGATGCATGCACACAATGTTTGTGCATGTGTTCAGGATTAGAAATGGTTGGAAGTATGCATTTGTGAATTTAATCCCGAGACGAATTCTATAACTCTTGCACAAGAAACGATTAATATTCCTTCCGCAGACGATATTACGATGCTAATCCAACGAGAAAATTACGCTTTTCTTGTTGATTCTAAACTTTAAGTGTTCATCAAAACGTAGAGACCAAAGTTATTACGGCAACTGTTACGACGACATTTCTCTCGACATTTGCCCAGCGATTGTCGACACAACAAAATGGGCGCAGCGCGCTCACACCATATTGAATTTTTTACCAAAGAAAGTTCACGAAGCGTCGAACAAACCTGCTGCACGAGCGCCTTCGTCTCGGACGTGACGATGTTCTCGAACACCGTGTGGAACTCCTTCGGGTTGTTCAGCCGGATGTCGTAGGCGGAGTTCATGAACTCTTCGAGCTGTCGTATGCCGACCTCGCACGCGTCGGCCGTGTGGCAGCGCTCCAGCTGCTGCGTCGCGAGCAGGTCTATGCCACGCGTGCACCACTTGTTAGCCTGCAGATATAGAGAGAGCCACCTGTTAACTTATATCATAGATGGAGAGCACCACTTGTTAGCCTGCAGATATAGAGAGAGCCACCTGTTAACTTATATCATAGATGGAGAGCATCACTTGTTAGCCTGCAGATAGAGCGAGACTTGTTAGCCTAAATATCACGGATAGAGCGCGCCACCTGTTAGCTTATGTCATGGATGGAAAGCGCCACTTGTTAGCCTAAATATCAAAGATAGAGAGCGCCACCTGTGACCTTATACAACACAGATGGAGAGCGCCATCTGTTAGCTTATGTCATGGATGGAAAGCGCCACTTGTTAGCCTAAATATTAAGGATAGAGAGCGCCACCCGTGACCTTATACAACACAGATAGAGAGCGCCATCTGTTAGCTTATGTCATGGATGGAAAGCGCCACTTGTTAGCATATGTCATGGATGGAAAGCGCCACCTGTTGGCTGATATATCACGGATAGAGAGCGCCACCTGTTAACTTATATATCATGGATGAAAAGCGCCACTTGTTAGCTTATGTCATGGATGGAAAGCGCCACCT